CCCCAAAACCCCAAAACCCCAAAACCCCAAAACCCCAAAACCCCAAAACCCCGGAACAGATTAATGTTTTTGAAAACTGTGAAAGAAATTTAAAATGAGAGACAAATTCTACAGATCTTATCTTCAGAGCAGATTTTTTTAGCAAAATTTAACAATCCCTAATCTATTCAAAGCTTTGGCCCAAGCATTATATTGGCCATGCTGAATTTAGATCAACATTCAGCGATCAATCTTGACAATCCCTGAAATATTTTATGTCAAAATTCGAATTAAAAGATCGATACCCAACCAATTTCTATTCTAATTAAGTTTCTTTAGTTATTCTGACAGTTTGTAGAAATAAGTTTTTATTCCATGATTTAAATATTTGTGGTCATTTCTGTATCCTTCGACTTTCTGATTGTGCTCTTCTGAGGAACTTTCTTTAATCTGTGAGGGGAGATTCTGGATCAGAGAGGTCCTGATTTTCAGAATCACTTGAACAATAATAAAAATAAGTACCTGGTTGATTCTCCTTTTTGGATAGAGTTGATGATAAAAGGTTTATTGAAATTTCATTATCGCTTTTGCATATAGAGCTGTCAATGCATACAGAGTCGAATTCTTTTGAAGGATCTTCTGGCTGATTCATGTGTTTTGAATCAGCCAGATCCGAAGCAATGGGCTTTTTTGAGAACTTCCCCAATCTGGATTCAGAACTATCCGGACGGGAAGAATTTCTGATAACATTAGCATTTTGATTATCTTTGTTATGAAGTCCACCAATAAAAGATTGATAGGCTTCATCATCAAAAGAGAATCGGAGGAACCTTAATGGCTTATATTCCGCTAATCTTATCTTAGACTCAAGTCTTTTTGTATAATTGGCAAAAATTGAATGATCTTTTCTTTTGAGTTGTTCTTTCTGGTCACATAAATTGTCTGTCGAAAAAATCTTAAAATCTTGAGAAAATGTTAATATTATTCTGACAGTAATCTGAAGTCTATCAAGAAGCTCTAGTGACCTCCCCAAAAGATCTCTAATTTCTTGGGGAAGATCAATCTTCTCTAACAAACTGATTTTTGATAGAAGCTGCTCAAGATTCTTTATTGAGGTTAAAAAATCTTGAGACAAATATCAAATTTGAGGCCATAAATTGAATGAAGATTGCTCCGATGTTGTCTCAGAAACTTTTCTATTTGGATCCACTTTGGTCTCCTCTAAAGTGCTCAGATGGTGCTGATTATGAGCAAGGCTTGAGCTAAGAGAAATATCATTATTAGCCTCTTGGGGAGTGTGATTAAAAGAAATCCTTTTAGTTGTAAGAGAATTCTGATTAAAACCTGATAGACTCTGTTTCTGAGATAGATTTAGTATCTGAGATTTGAGGTTTAATTGGAGAATTGTGAGTTTGTTGCTCAAGATCTTCTTGATCATGTAGATTCTCTTGGGAATATTGCTTTTCTAACAAGAGAGATTGATATCTAATAACTTGATACAGAATAGCTCTTTGAATTAAGAAATACATCAAAGATCACATTTCCTTAAGATACAGATGCTGAGTATCTTCAAACACCTCTCCAGGCACCTTCTCTTCTATTCCCCTCTCAATTACAACCCTTAGAGTCAAAATCGGAACCCTACTCCTCTCAAATCTTTTTATTCCACATTTATCCTTCATAGACTTCTTCTGGCCCATATGCTCTCAAAATTAAAAATATTCTAATAAGATAAATTCAGCCTGATTTGTTCCTGAGGGGTTTTGGGGTTTTGGGGTTTTGGGGTTTTGGGG